TAATAACTTAATCCTTAATTTGTCTCGGTGTGGTTCTATATCTATATCCTCATTAAGATGCCTTAAACTAGGCCTAATAATGCCTAGGATGAGATGAGGATGCAAAGATGCACGTTAAAAGCATTTTCAAAATTTTCAGAAAACAGGGGTCACGCTCGAGCGTAGATTACTCCGCTCGAGCGGACATGCAGACAAAAGTTTCCGCTCGAGCGTAGACTTACCCGCTCGAGCGTTCTGCAAAACAGTCAAAAGTGCTGGATAGGTGAAAATCACGCTCGATTGGGCGCTCGACACCCGCTCGAGCATGAGACACAATGTCCCGCTCGAGCGTCAATTATTCCGCTCGAGTGGACATCAAAACAGTGCAAAGTACTGGGAGCACGAATTTCACGCTCGAGCGCCAGTCACCCCGCTCGAGCATGAGTTCAAAATCTGGAATTTCCAGATTTGAACTTCCAAGCTCAAACCAAGTTCAAATGCATTAAAACCAATTCCTTTGGACCCTTTTCTAGGAAAACATTTGTAAATACATAGAATAACATGATTCAAAGCTCAATTTGTAAAATCAAGGCCCAAAAGGAAGATCAATTCAACTCAATTTGAAACTAATTTTTATGAACATAATTCAAACATAACATGCATGAATTTAAACCATTTCAAAGCTTCAATTCATGTTCTAATGATCCAATATTTTCAAAGACAAGGTGAAAACATGGTTTATGATCAAAACATGGACATGCATGTGGCAAATTTATGAAGAACAAGCTCTAAAATGCAAGAGTATACCATGCATGCAATAATTAAGCTCCAATTCAACAATTTGAGCCATAAGTTAGCTCTAGACTTCAACTTTGCTCAAAACCATCCAAGAACAAGCTTAAACACAACAATGAGAGGTTGAATTCCCTTACCTAGGTCTCCAATACAAGGTGAAGAACCTTAATTTGCTAATTCTTTCTTCAATTCTACCAAGTTTCCAAGCAATTTGGTTGAAATCAAGTCCTTCTCCTAGCTCTCTCTCTTTAGTCGGCTAAGTCTAAGAAAAATGGGCTGATGAAGTGTTGTAATGTTAGCATTAGAGGTCAACTAAGAGGCTCATGAGAGTCCACTAAGTGGCAAAATGGCAATTAGGTCCAACTCTTGTAATTTAACTCATTTTAATCCAATTTAATCATACCAAATCACATTTTAGATAAATACACCATAAAATCATATAAATTCTAATGAATACAAATCATCAATCAATTTCAGATTCGGCTGCCGATAAGGCCTTCAATTTGCAATTTAAACACAAGGGCATGAACAGATAAACAAACAGTCAACAGATAAACATACAATTAAACAGATATACTTAATCAATTCAGTTCCAGATTTCAGTCAGTCAGTTCAGTACTTCAATCAATTCAGTTACCAATCATAATCAGTCTCAGTTTAGCAGTAATCAGTGGTTAATCGGTAAACAGTGACGAGAGTTGTTTCACTAACAAATAGATAATAAGAGTTAGCTAAGACAACCAAAAGTGGGGTAACAAAAGCATACTAAAATTATAATTAATTAAAATAACTAACATTAAATAAAAGAATGTTATGTTTTTCATTTTTTTTTTCAATCAATAAGAGATATTATATTAATTATCTCACACAATATAATGAATTAAAATAAAATAAATTTTAATTTTCATTATATTCAATCAGTGGATAAAAAATTTTACATGCTATTTTTTTTTCCCTTTATTTTTATATTGATTTACTAAACATAAATAGGTTTGGTAATGCATTAAAATTGAACTGACAAAAATAAAGAATAAAAATATTTAAATTATTCAAAAAATCTGACATTTTAAATTTGAGATCACTTGCATTTGTTCTAGTTTTGAATTTGCATAAAAAGACATTTAAAAAAAAACAAAAAAAGGAATGAATTTGTGGTTTATGTCTCAAAAGAAATAAGTTCTTGAAAATTAATTTAATCCTAAGTTATTTCACAATCAACAACCAAAAATAATTGATGATTAAATTTAAAACATAAAGCCATATTCAAATAAATTTTGATGCTCTCCTCACTTCCAATCTAACATCTGCACCCAAAAAAATTAAATACGAATAATCAATAAGTGAAAAAGTCACAGGTTAATAATATTAGTACTTCAAAAAAAGAATGAAATCTCAATTAAATGACATATTATTAGCCAAAAAAGAGAGAAATAAAAAAATACAGATTGTAAGAAAAAAGAAAAAGAAACAAAAACATAAACAGAATTTAAAGAAAAATAAAATAATAATATCCATTTACATAAACTTCCATTTTCACAAACGTAAAAACTCATGTAAGTACACATTTCAAATGTAAAGTAGGTACAATTGAAGGGGAAAAATCACATGTGATTCGAAGTTTAATGCAAGATTTTTTAGGCACCGTGAAAGTGAGTCAAAAAGGGCTCAATGTTGATTGTGATTTTTTTCTTTTCAATCTTATGTTCGTGGTTCCTTTTTCAGGCACTTGTTTTTATATTGAAAAGATTAAATGTAGGCAAAAGATACAATTCTGTCATATTTAAAACTTATATGGAAATTAATTAATGATTTTAAAAGATAAACTTTGAAAAGATTAAATTGAAATATATGAGAATCTACAACAATCATGTTCAAATAGAAGATAAGTCCAAGAGAAAGGGAGTTTTGAAGAAAATAAAAAATTATGTTCAAATTTAAAGATAAAATAAGATAAACATGAGAAAATAAAATTTCAACTTTGAAATTTATATCTTATCTATAGGCTATGAAATTAATTTCCATTGGAAAATTAATTTAACAATTAAAAAATGAAACAAAAAAGAAACCATGATATACAATCAAAAAGAATTGCTAAGTAGAAGAGAGAAATATTAAAATCATGAAAATTTAAGAATAATCATTTAAATTTTTTTTAGAACACACTACATTCGCTTATATATAGTGTAGTATAGATTGAAAAATAATTAAAAATCATATCTTATTTAAATTTCATTATTTCAAATTATTTAATTTTTAATATATATGATAGATGGAGAGGAAAAATTGGAGTAAATCAAAATAAAGATTTAGATACAAAATGTTATTGATAGATATAGATTAACAAATCATACCATTATCTAAATTTTGTTATTTTAATTTTTATTTAACTTTTTATTATATTAAAAAATTAAAAATTAGGAAAATGAGCTAGGGAGACTTCAAGAACTATGAAGAAAATGTTAACTTCCCTTGAAAAATTGGTATTGAGATGTTGGAGAGTTTTGAAAGCACTAAAATCATATAAATTCCAATGAACACAAATCATCTTCAAATATTATATATATATATATATATATAATATAGATATAGATAGATAGATATAGATATGATTCTCTTGGCAAAGAGTTGAAGAGACTTTTTTGCCACAATCTTTCCTTCTAATATATGATTCTCTTTGCAAAGAGTCGAGGAGACTTTTATTTCCCTTCACCAGAACAGTAATATGAACACTGATTTTTTAATAAAGGAAAGACAAAAACAACTAACAATAATAATAATAATAACAATAATAGCAACATGATTAGTATGAAATTAAAAAAATCAACGTCTTGACAAATTAGAAATAAATAAAACCTATCAAAGACGACCAGGATTAGAATAATACATGTGGTGTGGTTAGTGATTTTCAAAGCCCTGTAGGCTCTACTATAATTATTTTGTTCGATCAATGTTATATAAACAAAATTTTTGTATAAAAAAATCATTAAAAAATGTTGTCTTCTTCTCTGTTCATTTCATTTCAACCCAAAACATTTACAATTGTTACTTAGAATAACAAAAAAATAATAATAATAATATTGTCAAGTTATTTTGTATGTGTTTTATGTAGAGAAATTGAATATAACTTGTCTTTGGTTCATAAGTTGTGCCAGTGGGCTAACTAGAGACCTCACTCCAATAATTCAATCGTTCATTTTGTGATATCCTATGTTTAAATTTTTATGAAAAACAAAATAGAATAAAATCGAAAGATAAGATAGTCTAAAGATTGTTTGTTTAAGGTATTGAATTAGGAGATGATTGGACGGACTGAATAAGGGGAGATTATAATCCATCAGACTTGAATTCTGAGACTGTGAATCCCCCAAACTATTTGGTGTTTGTTTTCTCATTGGATTAGATATCTGAAAAATACTATTTTTACTGAATCCAATATTTGGTTGAACGGATTGGATAGGATAAATGAGCAAAAGACTATTTTATCATTTTTTAATTGTTTACTAAGTAATAGCAATATTAAACATATCTTTAATATTTTAATTATTTTTAGCTCGATTAAATAAAAATTTATTTTATTTTATTTTTTACACAACTAAGTAAATTTATTTTTAAAAAATTAAATAAATAAAATATCAATAAAAATATATGTTGTTTTTTAATTAAAATTTTTTAAAATTTATTTTAAATAACAATAATAATAAAATAATGAAATAAAATAAAACATCTATTAAAATTTAAATAATGAAATTAAATAAAATATAAACAAAATTTTAAAATAAAACATCAATAAAATATCTATAAAAAAATATTTTAAAAAAATTAAATAAATAAAACAACAATAAAAAGTTAAATAAAATTAATTTATTTTTAAATTGAGACATTTAAATTTTATTAAATTTTGCTAAATATAATACATAATTAAATAGTAGAGAGTCAAAATAATCATTTCATCACCTAATCCCAACAGTAAATAATCTCATGAAAATTTTTTAATCAAATTTATTTCCTTTTTACATGTATATGAATCTAACTCTCCCAATCATATGCGATCTCATCGTGCACACACATGAAAGAAAACATAGCTCGCAAAAGGTGCACGAAGACAGACATACAGAACAAAGTGCACAATAACAGAGATAAACCTCTTGAAATAGAGCTCAGATACAATGTCAAGACAATTGTAGTAACAAAAGTTTAAACTATTATGAAATGAAACCAACAATATATACATCAAGCTAATACACCAAATCATAATTGTAGCCACTGAAACAACTTTGTTAAAAATTACAAAGTCATACTACAGAGATAAATATATAGAGTAGCAGGAATGCTTATGTAAGTTCCACAAGCATAACACATGCTTATCAGAGATTCAGAATTACACTACTCTAAAATAGAAGAAAGAAAATTAAGTATATAAATCATGTGCACTTACTCGACGAATTGCAATTTTATTGTCTTTAATGAAGATTAAAAATTGCTAGCTTTCTGAATGGGAGCTGAGATAACTCACTAAGATGACAACATAAATGTGCCAATGAAATTAAAAATAATAATAATAATAATAAATACATATATGTTGCTAACTTATTTGAAAATCAGATTGTGACAAGTTTTGTCACAGGGGTATGCACAGTCGATGGCCTTAACGCTTGATCGATCAAAATACCAATCTCCAACAGATAGCGCGATCCCCTGCCATCGTTAAACATCCCATATTAGATAGTTCAAAATTCTTTTGCTCAACGATAACAAGTATGCAAAAAGAGCACACAAATGTAGATACCCAACAAGTGATCAAAAGTACTTACATTCCATCTTTGAATTGTTTTTAAGTCCAATGAGGTATGTTTATGTGGGATTAAATCTTCAATTCTTGATTATTTGTATTCTTTGCTGTCTCTTAAAAGATTAAAAAGGGGAGAACAAACAAACACACACTAACAATAACTAAATCACAAATCTCAAGGACCAATAATTTCAAGTTGAGTTCTAGTTTTACTAGATCTCCAAAAAACTAGAGCCTAGCTTAGTGGACATTTGGAAGCATCTCCTCGAGTTTTCTTCAAGCTGGGCCTCCTGACAAAATTTCCTCGCATTTGGTTAGAGTTGCTACACCTTGAGGTAATATGTATTTCATGATTCGTGTAGCTTTTATAGAGGTCATTAGCGATGCTAGTGTTACCAAAAAAATGCTAGCAAATTACATTTTGGAACACACATTTTGAAACATGGTATATTTTCATTCCAAAAGGTAAATTTAGCATATCAAAAGTGATCAGTGTTGGGATAATAGATTTGGGTAAGGATTTGAAAAGAGAAAGAGAAAGAGAAAAAGAAAATGTGATAATAATGTGAATGGAATATTTGAGAGTCAAGTTTTAACAGGAAAAAGTGTGAGTCAAGTTTCCATCTAAATTCACGATTTAAACACAACATAAAGGTTTTCTTAGAAGTAAAATATATATATATATATAATGAATAATTGTGACTCAAGTTTTAACAAGAAAAAGTGTCTGGGGCATGATGATAGAAATGTGTTACAGTCACTACATGATTAATTCGGGACAAAAAATTAAAAAAAAAAAAGCCCTACATTTCATTGGATGTCTATATGTTAAAAGAAAAATACTCTAAAAGTAGTATAATACAAGTTTGCTTCTATCACACAACATTTTAGTGCGTGTGGCATAAGACTGCAAATGAATTGAGTTGTTCATGAATAGCTCAAAGCTCGGCTCATTTCAACTCAATCAAGCTCGTTTGATTACCAAACGAATCGAGCTCGAGCCTGATAAAACTCAATCAAGCTCGTTTGATTACCAAACGAATCAAGCTCGAGCCTGATAAAACGAGTCGAGCTCGAGCCTTACTATCAAGCTCAATTATTAAACAAGCCAAGCTTGGTCTAATGTGAGCTCGACTCGATTAAGCTCAGCTCAACTCAATTATATTATATTATATTGCATATATATATCATTTATATATGTTGTAACCAAAAAAAAAAATTGAATTTGAAAATGCATATGGAGTTATAATAATAATAATGCACTGCTCATGGAAATGTAACATGATGGAAAACAATTTATAAAGGGTGAGATTAGTTCAATTTTCCTTATTTTTCGATGTGGGATAGCCACTGAATGAACTTCACCAAAAAAAAAAAAAAAAAAAAAAAAATTGTAAATGACATGTGCAAGTTTGCAATGGTTAAGAGTCCCACATCACTTCTTTATACATTCAATAGGCACAAAAAGCTCTATATAATTGAGGGAAGCCAGCAGGCCATTTTTGCTACGGCTGTTAGGAGAGAATACATATTGTAAAGTCAAGCCACAAGAGCCGAGCTCGAGTTTTGTTTTAGTCCAACGAGTCGAGCTCAAGCCAAGTTCAAACACTTGAAAATTTACTTGAGCCGAGTTCGAACAAAGTTGATATTCGGCTCAGATCGTTTGCAGCCTAGTGTGGCATACCACATACGTGTTCTTGTTACACGAACCGGAACGATCTGCATTCCAGCTAATATAGAGTGATGCAAATGTACAAGTATGAGACCTAGGCCTACTTGATGTGTGTATGACATAGGTGTTAATTTTTCTTTATGTTTTCTTCATATGCATGCGTGTTTATTTCTATCAACAGGACTTGAGTATGAGTTAATTGTGATAAGTAAAACCAAACATTGAGCATGAGATTGACATTAACTGACTTGAAAAGTATGGGTGATTGACTTAAATTGAAGGCTAGGTCAAGAGAAATCAAAATATGACATAGCTCGAGGCAGAAAGGAAAACCATGATTGACTACAAATCTATACTAGTATTCAATAGAACTAATACATAGTAACCACACATCAGCTGTACCTTATTGCCAACAAGAGGTGAATCATCAGCAAACCATGTATCCTGCCTCTCTGTTTGGCAGTGAGCAAAACATGAATTTATGAATAACCCATTTTCCTCGGACGTTGAGAATCCCTCTATTGCATTCAGCATATGATTTCTGAAGTCTGCTCCAAAGAATATACAAAATCTTTAATCAATTGATAAAATTTCTATACTACATTTTTAACAAAGCTGATTAAATTTATTAATAGTCAAGCCAGTTGAGTAATTTCTGTTATATGAAACCACCTTGCAGAAACTGGATCTGTGATTCTGAACAACTTGCGTGATTCATTTTGCAGTCACGCCAACTGCCACTAGGATCAGCTGATACAGGAGCTAAACTGGCCTGGACCTGAATTGCGAAATTAAGAATTTATCAAGTTTTTCATTTAACACGCTTAAAAGCAGTCACAAAGCAATTTAACTAAATTTAGCAAACTCTACAGAAACAAGATATTACCTGCCATGAATCATAGGCTGCATTGAGAATAAATAGAGGGGTTTTGACATTGGCAATTAAGTTCTCGGGGAAGAAGCACTGTAATGGAAGAATGATATGAAAGTCAATGTGAGTTTGAGAATGATGGGATTGAACAGAATTTGGTATTTTCTTATGCAATTAAATCTCTTGCATTTGCCAAGAAAATTGAAGGAACAGACTCACCGAAGTCGGATCAAGATTCTCAGTACAAGTACTTGGAAGATTCTTTTGCACCCCCTAGTAGTTAAAACATATTTCAAATAATCAAGAATGTATAGGATGCCAGATGACCATGCTCAATGAGAAATATTCAAGAAATAAGAACTAGTAAGTTACTAGACAGGCATGTGCACAACTTCTTCAAATTGCTCAAGTCATATATCAAGTTTTTGGATATAAAAATTAAACAATTATGGCAGGATTCACTTTTAAAATATATTACAAAATAATTAAACGATCGTAAGACATGTTTGAACATGTGTCCACCCAGTGTCAAATGAGATTTGTGTGGTATCAGTGTCCGACAAGATAAGCCACCTTCTAAGAAGTGCCCGTGCTTATTACCAACAAATGTTGCAAGGAAGGGGGACAGTATTGTGATAGATACAGAGACATAAAATAATAATAAAATAAAATCAACTTCCATATTCCCTTTCTAGTTGGCCAATCAGAGGCAGCATATGCATGGTTTGAAAGTAACAAATTTTAATGAAATTACAAGAATCATTACATATAATATAACTTTGATTATATATATGTGTGTTACAGCTTACTTCCAGTTCCCACAGTAACTAGTGTGCATGCAGGAGATGATAGACATGTAGATTATATGGAAAAGGGGAAAGGGGGGGGGGGGGGGGCTACTGCAAGGTTAGTGTTGTTGAAAAAAATATTTAATAGTTTTGGACCTCATTTTTATTTGGGAGAATTTTGAAAAAGTGAAAAGTAAAAAAAAAATAATTTTTAAATGGTGGTATAAGATTTATTTGCATTATCTAATGCATAAATCACTTTTACCTCCATCATTTTGAAATTATTTTTCTACTTTCCAACTTTTTGATATTCTCCCTTTTTATTTTCACCATTCCAACTGGGTATTTGGCCTGTCTTATTATGATATCTTTGTCTTATCTTATTTTATGTAGGTAGCAAATTTTGAGTACATTGATGAAGTGGAAGCAGCAGCAGAAGAGGAAGCACGAAAGGCATGTATTACAGTGAAGAACTGTATGTATTACAGTGACATGAGTGCCGAGCAGAGGAATGAGAAGATAACCTCGGCAATCAGCTACTGCAAGGTTAGTGTTGTTGAAAAAAATATTTAATAGTTTTGGACCTCATTTTTATTTGGGAGAATTTCGAAAAAGTGAAAAGTAAAAAAAAAATATTTTTTAAATGGTGGTATAAGATTTATTTGCATTATCTAATGCATAAATCACTTTTACCTCCATCATTTTGAAATTATTTTTCTACTTTCCAACTTTTTGATATTCTCCCTTTTTATTTTCACCATTCCAACTGGGTATTTGGCCTGTCTTATTATGATATCTTTGTCGTATCTCATTTTAGGTAGGTAGCAAATTTTGAGTACATTGATGAAGTGGAAGCAGCAGCAGAAGAGGAAGCACGAAAGGCATGTATTACAGTGAAGAACTGTATGTATTACAGTGACATGAGTGCCGAGCAGAGGAATGTGGAGAAATTGTTCTTTCAGGAAATCCATGCTGTTAGTGTTGTTGAAAAAAATATTTAATAGTTTTGGACCTCATTTTTATTTGGGAGAATTTCAAAAAAGTGAAAAGTCAAAAAAAATAATTTTTAAATGGTGGTATAAGATTTATTTGCATTATCTAATAATTTTTATTTGCATTAGATAATGCAAATAAATCTTATACCACCATTTAAAAATTATTTTTTTTGACTTTTCACTTTTTCAAAATTCTCCCAAATAAAAATGAGGTCCAAAACTATTAAATATTTTTTTCAACAACACTAACCTTGCAGTAGCTGATTGCCGAAGTTATCATCTCATTCCTCTGCTCGTCACTCATGTCACTGTAATACATACAGTTCTTAAGTGACTTTACAACGTCATTGCCATCTGTCGGCTTGTAATTCAGTGACTTTACACCATCACCACCATCTGTCTGCTTACAACCGGTGAAGCATTTCTTGACCTTCCGGATCAACGACTTCCCGAACCTCAGAGACAGAGAGATTGAAGTTGAGGGCTTCATGGAGAGAGAGAGAGGAGGGGTGGAACTTTGTTAATGACTTGTTGCTGTGAGAATACACGGTATACATAGCATAATGGTTTATTAGGAATTAGCATATTCTTCGCTAATTGCTAATATAACAGAGAGCAACCCATTACAGAGAAGACTATATTGGCGGGAGGGGGGTGTGTTTGGGTTCCTTGCCTTTTATATAAGCGTGTTTGTTTAATTGTTATTTATTATTATTTTATAAGTTTGTGGGTAATTTATAATTTCAAAATTTAATTAAGTATTATTTTATTACATAATATATTTTTTGTCAACAAAATTTAAGTTTAGCATTGAAATTATTAATTTTAAAGTTTTCAAAAAAATAATTCTATTTACACAATTTTTCAAAATTATCTTATTACACTTTTATTCACATTTTATTCACAATTTTTTCAAAATTAATATTTTTAATAGAATATCGAATATGTGAAGGTACTTATTCACTTTTTAGAGATAAATATTTGAATACTATGAAACAAAACACAATTAATTATTTTAAAATATTTAATAAAACACAATTATTATTATTTTTTTAAAAAAAAGTACTAATGCTTTTGAATACAATTCAATTAAACAAGTCATTTTTCTGTTAATATAGAAGCCAAGCCCCCAGCAGAACACCCTGAAAGAAGAGCCTGAAACAAAATGGATTCGTATTATCAAAAGAAGAATCAAAATAATGGCAAAAAGGCATGGACAGAATTGAATGATTTGGTAGACATAAAACCTGGTCAGCATTGCTCATCCCCCTTGACATTAAATCTTCCATAGCAGCTGACCATATGCGTTGCCCTCTAAATTCCAGTTGTGCAGCCTAGAAATGAAATAATATTCCTTAAAGAAGTGTACACAAACCAATGATCAAAACAAGGCCTAGACTCAATAAATGAATGGAATCAAACCGAGTAGTGGATTGCTTAACTCATTTATCTTACGAACAATCTCAAGCAAGCTTCTACATGAGCCAATCTTGATGTGAGCTTGAGTAGCTCACTTCGTTATATAGTTCTAGGAAGCCCACTACCTTATGAAACAAAATTCAAGTCAAGCTACTACTTGAAGCTTGGCTTATTTGTTAGGTGATTTAGGGCAAGCCTCTAACCCAGATACTCACAAGCCAAGCTCAAGTACCTTTGATTCACTTCACAACTTTAGGTGCATGATCAAATATAGTCAACCAATTCATATAACCGATGTTGTGAATTAATTTCTTGAAGGATAGTGGAATAGATTTTCACAAACTATTAAATAAGCACCATTTCTCATCTCATCTACAGTCTCGGATCAATTATTATTTTGTTACTGTTGCGCCTTGGACCAATTTAATGTGATGAAGGAAATAGGATCCACTAACAGAGAGGCATCAAAAATTGCATTACTAGAATAATTTTTACAAGATAAGGTCATTTGAGTTTGTTTTGTCAAAATTAACACCAAAATACCTATTAGCACTAAAATGCCTACCAGCTTTCCATTACTGACAAAGCACACCTTATATCACTTGATCTATAATTACTACTCCCTCCATCGCATTTTATTTGTCCACCTTTCCATTTTGATCTATCCCAAAATGTTAATTTTGTTAGATTCCCAAAACTACCCACTACAAATCAGTATACACCCATTCAAAAATTCAATAGAAGGGTACTGGTGGTAAAAATATTTCAAAATTTGAATTAAAGTGTCATGATTGCATATCTCCTTATAAGTTGGATTCCCTACAATGGACAAACAAGTAGTGACGGAGGGAGTGATTAGTTAGTCTTCTTTGCAAGTGCTTAATTATTATATACTACACATTTTATGGGTTGCAAATAAAGTTGGAGACAAAACACTAATATTGTGTTTGGTTGGGGGATTTGGGAAGGGATTTGGAAAGGGAAATGGAAAAGGTAGGTGAAATGTGAATAAAACATGCCTATATTTCACCTAGTTTCACATATCTTTTCCCTTTCCCTTTCCAAATCCCTCCCTAAATCCCTCAACCAAACACAGCATAACTAGTGCCTCTGGGAATAACTCAACTAAGTGTACAACATTAATCATCTCTTCTTTGAAATGACTTGGAAGAAGTATGAAAAGTAATGTGGTCCAAAGAAGTAATAAATGTCAAGCAACTTGTGCAGGAGCCTTATCTGTAATGTAGGCCCTGCGTACTTCAATTGGGCACATGGCCCATGGACAGTGGTGCCTGACCACATGATTAGATCAGCAGGTTTATTTTACATAGGTATATGTTAGCCTCAGAAATATTACTTTCTCCCTCGGGTGAAGCCCATGGACCCATTGCATGGAAATAAGACTTTTTGGTCCAATAAGTGTAATTAGTAGATTTTATTATTAATATTTACTTAGAATTATAAGTAATTATTTGCTAGGATATTTGGTTATATTTCCTAAAATTGTTAGGGTTTAATTAGGGTTAATGCCTCACAAATCAATGTTTTAAAAACTAGATTGATGAGCGAACCAGAAAAGGAATCTGGTGAATAGATCACCGGTTCAACTGTCAAGTTGAATTGAAATTGAACCGTGACATCATAATTATTTTATAAATATAAAAAAGTTACTTAATAATAATATAAAAATTAAGATATATTAATTTAAATTATTTTTATATTTTAAGATAAATATAATTTCATAAATATATCTATATTTATTTTTTTGTAAAATACTAATTATATATAATGTTTGAAAGAAAATATTATAATAATATATATTTAGCAAATATAAACTAAAGTTAAAGGTGACATAGTGGTTATACTATTATTCCACTTTCACGTGGATTTTTTTTTTTTTGCTGTGGTACTTTTATGTGAAAGTGGAACTTCGTTTTGTAAAATTGTTAAATATATGTTTGTTTGGAATAAGATATAATAAACACCATAAATAATATTTTTTTACTATATATAAGCAAGGAGGTATGGTGGCTCAATGGAAATAAGCTGCCTTTTCAACCAAAGGTGCTGTGTTCGACTCTCACAAGCTTCAACACTGGAATAAGCGCGCATGAGACCGGCCGGTTTACTTCAATCGGTGCCGGTTCGTCCAATATACCGGTTCAACCGCGGATTTATCCGGTCATCTAAAATAGCCAGTTTTGAAGCTTAGAGGGTAGACCAATCGATGGGTCAACCGGTTGAACCGGCCGATTCGGTCTGGTTTCAAAACATTGCTATAAATATTAAGTTGCATTTTATTATTCAGAGTTGATGAATAAAATTGAGTGCTAAGGCTGTGACTATATCCAACAAGTGATTTTTGGTAGAGAACTGTTTCAAATTTCAAATAAACCCCATGCCTCTATGTGCCTCATGGCAGGCAATGACATAGGAGGAAATATCCTCAATATACCTTATTACATTTACCTGTGGTAAGAATTAGGGCCGCAATACCCACCAACAAAAAGGACAAGCGTCGTAAGGTAGCAATTTCGTTCATTTTGTTCAGGTTTTTTGTAGCCAAATAGAGCATCAATATTGGTTGTACAAGAAAATAAAAATACCACATACTCTCCCACTAACCTTATCTTCACTATCCCCAGCAAAGGAGGCACCATCACAATAACGAACCTTTACTCTACTCCAATTGAAAAAATCTGCAACGAAACAAGACCTTTAGTCAGCAAAATGCTCATACACACACATCCAGAACATAGCCACAAAAAAGAAAATAATAATAATAATAACAAAGAAGATAGAAGAAGGAAGTTGTATTGATGATTTAACTATATGTAGTTTTATGTTAAATAAAAAAAAAAAAATAGGAACTAGATGTACTTTGAGATTGAGAGAATACCTGGATTTTCTTCGGCCTTATTGCTAAGTATTCCTGTAAATGGTATCTGCTTTTCCATGTAAGTTGATGATCCACGCCGAGTCGTTTTGCGGTAAACACAAGATCGTATGGCATTACACCATCCTCCACCCTGTCACAAGATGTCCCACAAAGTCACGTTCTCAATCAATACCAAGAAGCATAGTTGAAAAATCTGTAGCATGAAGCATCCTGCCAAGATATTGTCAGCCCACAGATTCAAATAATGATAAGCACACAAAAAATACGAAACAAAACTTTTCTCTAGCTTGATAACTGTATAACATGTCATCAACAGACTATCAAACATCTTGCATTGAAAACAGGAGGAAACATTTTTCTCGAAGTAATCCTCAGATGTACGGAGCAATTTATGTGAGCTAAAGGAAATTCTAACTCATAATAACATAGTGCATGAAAATCTCGCATTTCAGTTCATTTTTCTTTGAACTCCAAATTATTAATAATTTTTCTTTGTTTTGTCGATCACATAGAACCTGCTAGAATTGTGTGCTCTGGTTGCCACTAGAAATAACATAATCTTCCCAATCAATATACTTGTGTTTTAAGGATTAGAGGAGCAACGGGTATCTGGAACTACAGATTTATCAGACTCACAGTTTGGTACTTGAAACAGTGGAACATCAGCGTGTGTGTGTATGCGTGTGTGTGTGTGTGTTTTCTTTGGGATAATGAAAAACACCACAGAAGAAAACATAGACAAGCATGTACACTTTAAAGTGTAAAAGTAAAAATGTAAGAAAAAGGACAAGTATTTTCAAGCTGTCTCACATACCTCCAATTGAATGAGCCAACTGTTTGCTCCTGAATCATATCCACGGTGGAAATGATAACCAGGTAATGTTCCATCCAAACATACTGTAAAAGTAAACCACACCACAAGATAAATGGGGGAGGGGGAAATTAGGTAGATTTCATAACAAGGAAAAGTAAGTATCTAATATCGCAATCATTAAAACTTCAAATAAGATGAGATATATAACTTTGAAGCTATGTTATCTTGAATGCAGATTGTTCCAATACAAGGAATGGGAACATAAATGTAGTACATCACATACTCTAGAATGTGGTGTATGATGAAGGTAGGGTCATTTAGATCACACTAATAAAATTTAAGAGAGTACTAAATGATGATAGCAATTATATTTTAATAATTAGACATCCAATAAAGTATAGGTATGAAACATTGGGGCCCAATTGTTTTACATTTGGTCATGCAAAAACTGCATTCTCTCTAGTTCATATATTTGATTTTCTTTATACAGGAAACTTTCAAGCAAATATTTAGGAAAAATTTTGGAATTGTCAATTTTTTTTTGTTTTGGGACAAAATTGTACCACATTAAGGCATTTTTTTACTTTTTTAAAGACCGAGAACTCCAACCAGCTCAACCTATCATCCAATACAAAATCTTATCAATAAACTCTGGATACGCACAATCACCCACAAATCACGTGTCAATTAAACCCGAGTGTTTTATTGCCTCATGAGACTCAATTCGAGAAGTATCCATAGCAGACCTTTCATATTTAAGCCCTTAGCCACTGGGCCACCCATAGGAATTGTCACAAAGTAATGATGATTACGCTAACTCTACTACTTTACGGGTTGAGTTTTTTCAAGTTCAAAACTAAATTTGAAACAATTTAAGAGGCTTACAAAATGAACAATTTGGATCATTAAAACAAAACCGTTTTATTCGATTCAGATTTAAATTTGAGAAGCCCAATCCTTTTACTAAAAGGGCATGTTGATGCATCATTAATATGAGAAAGTGATAGTTGTGAAGACCTAAATTTAACCAACCAAATCCACTAATTACTATCAGTACTACCAAACAACACTAATTGATAGCAACAGGCTAACAAATTGATAGCAACAGGCTAACCAACTAGACCTAGCCTAATTAGTCACCATGACTCTCTTGTGTTTGGTTGAGAGATTTGGAAAGGGATTTGGAAATAAAAAGGGAAAATATGTGTGAAACTAGGTGAAATGTAGGTATATTTTATTCACATTTCACCTATTTTTTCTCTTTCCCGTTCCCTTTCCCTTTCCCTTTTCAAATCCCTTCCCAAATCTCCCAACCAAACACAACATTAAGGGCTTAGTCCCAAGGAGAGGTCATGGTTTCAACTCTTCCTAAGGTCGTGTTTGGTTCAATGATTTGAGGAGGGATTTGGAAAGAAAAATGGAGAACTATATGAAACTAGATAAAATGTAAGTATATTTTATTCAAATTTCACCATTATTTTCCCTTTGCCTTTATATTTCTAGATCCCTCCCCAAACATTTGAACCAAACACGGCCAAAGGGCAGTTGAATAAGGAGGAAAGTACTGGATGATTTGTAAGGATGGGAGGCTAACTCTATAATCTAACCATTATCAACAAACTTTTTAGCAGATAAAAAACACAAAGCAAACAGGCTAACAAATTGATATAATTATGCGATTAATATCATGCCATGACACAAAAGCACCTCAATCAGATCACTCACCCAATAAAAGTAAACCAAGAAAAAAGGAAAACATGAAAACGCGTAACAAAATCAATCAATAATTAGAAATCAGTTTTAAAAAAGCAAAAAACTTGCTTTACCAAATAAAGAAAACAGTGAAAAGTAACATCAATCAATATAGAATTATGCATAGTTAGCTTAAGATTCTACAATTAGCAGCAAATCCATAAAGTGGCCATAATGTAAAATAAATAAATAAATCATTTTAGGAAACAAAAAACATATATATATATATATATATATAGAGAGAGAGAGAGAGAGAGTACCAGCGCCTTTGGCAGCAGCACCTTGAATGAGGGTAAGACCGACGGTGAGACGATTATTACCGTCGGAAGCAGAGACTCCATAGAAAGATTCAAATCGAAGCTCTGTCAGATTGAAATACTCAAACCCATCTACACATTTGCTAACAAACCCAACAACAAATAGAACCCATAAACCCATAAGCTTCCTCATAGCTGTGTCAATCAATCCCACCCAAAAAATCTCAAAAACCAATCACTAGCCTACAACACTGAAAATCTATATATAGAACCAAATATGGGAACAATGTTAGGAATTTTAGAGAGAGAAAGAGAGGAAAGTGAGAGAAAACGAGGAGCAGAGATCTTTGAAACTGCTAAAGCAGTCACGCCTTTGATAAGAGAGAGCGGAGAACTAAGCGAAGTATAAATAGTGTTAATCGCACGTTTGGAATCTAGTAGAGAAACCTAAAGTCACCATAAGTGGAGAACACGGACGATTCGACAAGGTTTGACACGGTGTAGGACCCCGGTTCCGCCCTTAAAAAAAAAAAATGCTATGGATGTAAAGTTAAAAAAATTTTAAAAAATAAATAAATAAAACGTAAGTAAAATATATTTATAATTCACATAATTTTACATATTTTTTTATTTTTATTTTTAAAATTATTTCTAAATTTTTTAACTAAACACAATGTAAGACTTGATCATGTCCTGAGGTGAGGTGAGGTGAGGTGAGGTGAGGTGAGAAATAATTATGATTTGGGAAGTTAAAATTTACAAAAAAAATAATATTAATTAAGGAGGAGTTATATTAATAATAATGACTGAGATCCTTTTTTAGAACTCTACAATTCTTTTTGGATCTCAACTATAAATGGTGTGGCCCTATACATACATGAATGGGTCTCACACATACACTAATGTGACGCAGCAGAATACACGGAGACTAGATATCGTTCTAGCAGACGAAAGGGGCTCTCGAATCCACGAGAAAAATAGAACCTTGAATTCACAAGGAAGAGAAATATTATTGAATGAATGAATAAAAATTGTATAAAAGTTGTCTTTGCCATGAGGCTTACATAGCTATTTATAATAAACAAAACCTAATATTTGTAGGAAAAGTGCTTATAAAATAAATTAGGAAACTTAAATCAATACAAATTAGAAAACCTAAGAGAATAGGAAACTAGAATTCTAAACTACTTAAAATCCTAATCAAAACCTAATTCCAAAATAATAAAATTAAGAAACCTAATAATTCTAAATTATTTATACTAAATTACAAGAATCCTAATAAAATAATATATCAAAAATATTAAAACTAAAAATATAAAAATTGTTAAAATCTTGTCCTACATCACAATGGTTAAGATCCAAAGGATCCCAAAAAAAGGAGTCTCAAACATTTTTGTTATATTAATAGTCCTTATAGTTCGGGGTTTGTATCACTTTAGTCTATGACATTTCAATTATAATACATTTGACTCTAAATTCTGAATCTCGTTCTAAAAAAGGACAATTAAAAATATTGTTGCTACATTTTAAAGGCAAAATCATCAATTTGATAAAATATAAACTAGTTTGATAAAAATAAATGTCAAAAAATTATTTTTAAATTTTTAAAAATTATTTATAATCACTAAAGATAAAATTATATAAAAATGATAAATCTTTTACATTTTTATTTTTTTATCAAATTAATTTTTAGTATATGCTTGGATGATCATGTAATAAGTGGTTATTTTTGTTGATATTTTTAAATGGTTATTATGTAATAAATTATTGTATTTGTTGTTAACAAATATTTTTTTATAGTTATTATATAATTGATGGTTATTAGGCTTTTAATATATAATCAATACGTTTAATATATGAAATATTTTTAGTTTTGAATTTTTTTGATTAAATAGATTGGTTTAATAATGACATCAAAATTGTTACCATGTTTTACTTTTGAAAAAATAAAAACTAATTTAACGAAAATAAATATCAAAAAATATATATTTTTACCCTATCAGAAGATAAAATCATATAAAAATTATGTATTGTTTTTCACTAATTTAATTTTTAGTTTCTTAGAAAAAAAAATTGAAAATAGATTTTGAAAATCAAACAAAATGGAACTTTATAACCAAAAAAGTTTCAACATTATTCATTAAATAAAATGCCATTATATTTCAAACAATATAAGTTAACCAATACAAAATAAATTGTATGACGATTTTGCCCTTCAAATATAGCAATAATTTCTTCAATTGTCCTTATTTGAAACGAGATTCAAAATTTATGATCAAATGTATCACAATTGAAAAGTCAGGGACCAAAGTGACACAAATCTCAACCTATAGGGACTTTTAATGTAATTCACTCAAAGATAAAATAGATTAAAATAACTAATAAGATAAATGTCACATCAAATTCATAATCATTTCAGTTTTTCTCTCACAAATATTACATTCAATTATAAAAAAATCCAATCCTCTTCCCAAATACAAATATTTTAGCCTACTAAAATAGTTAACTTCTCAAATAATACTATTATATTTGGATGAAAAAAGAAAAAAAAAAAAGATAAGGTCGGATAGAGTAAATAAAATAAAAGAAATGAAAGTATTTTATTTTATTTTATTTTATTTTATTTTACTAAAATAACCTTTCATATTAATGACTTATGTTTTTTCATAATTTTAAAAAACTTTCATTAATCCCAATTAATTTCTCACAAAATCTCACCACTTTTTGTGAGAAATAAAACATAAGTTTGGTGAGAATCATTTTCTTATTATCTCTCATCATTTGCCACTTACTTAACCATCCAAACAAGTCAAGGGGTGTCTTATTCTTACTATTTTTTTTTTTTTTCTCATAAGACCTCTTCACATCCAAATGGAGTGTACAAGTTTTACCAAATTTTTTACTAAATGTCTTGTATAGGTGTGCAACCCACACCATGTAAGTCACATATGCATCACACTTATATGAGATATTTGATAAAAAAATTTAATAAAATTTTTGGAATATCCAGTATTACTATTTTTGTTTTGCTTTTTGGCTTTTCATTTATTATTGTATAAAAAATGACATTTTGCCTTTCAAACTATGGCTTAAAAAATTAATTCAATTCTTTTTCTTTTAGTAAAATTAATTTTATACTTAGAACTATTTGATTTTAAACTAATTTTATCTCGCCGTTAGTTGAGGTTTATAATCAAACAAAATTGTTGACATTTTACTGAAATTTCATTTAAAATTTTATTTTACCCTAAATTATCTTTAAAATATCAATTGATCCCAAAATTAGTTTTATTTAAGAATCTAATTTATGTTTTGGCATAATTTGATAGTAAAATAAAATTTTAAATGAAATTTCAGTAAAATGTCAACAATTTTGTTTGATTATAAACCTCAACTAACGGCGAGATAAAATTAGTTTAAAATCAAATAGTTCTAAGTATAAAATTAATTTTACTAAAAGAAAAAGAATTGAATTAATTTTTTAAGCCATAGTTTGAAAGGCAAAATGTCATTTTTTATACAATAATAAATGAAAATCCAAAAAGCAAAACAAAAATAGTAATACTGGATATTCCAAAAATTTTATTAAATTTTTTTATCAAATATCTCATATAAGTGTGATGCATATGTGACTTACATGGTGTGGGATTTAGGTCAATAGACTTATTTTATTGATAATCATGACAAATAGAGTTTTTAAGGACAAAATGAATTACTACAAAATAGTCTATATTATGGTTTGAGTGAGAATTTGACATGCAACTCGTTAATTTAACTTAAATTGTATATGTAATTAGAGAGTTAGGATGGATCATTTTTTGATACAAGCATGAATAGTTATATTGATGCAGGAGAATTCAGTTGCGCAAAAATAAAAAATAAGCAAAAAAATGAAAACGCATGACACAAAACACCACACCAAGGGAGAGATCCCAAGCAAAAACCTTGTGCGATCTTCCCCAAAAATAAAAAATAAATAAATTTATAAAGCTTTGTGACTTGCTATGCAAGCGCACTTGTCATGGAAAAGTCGAATGACAAAGAACAGTCAAGACTTTAGAAATTGCTATGTGGGATCGGATCGGATCGTATGACCACTATTGTGGAACTCCTTCAACCCCATGACCAGGATCAAGGCAAACGTAAGAAAGAGTCTCGGATTGAAGATTGTATCAACAACTTGTTGGCACCACATTTAAACCATCCAATGCAAAAGTGACGTGGCAAGCAAGGGATACCTTGTGGGATACATCAAGATAATAAAGAGTCCCACCTTTAAAGATGCCCGTGTGAGTTTCAAATGCAAGTCTGCAATAGGCAAACATTATGAGCAACGTGTGAGAGGTACATGAAGAGGGAGTTAACAAAGAGCAGGTGCTAATAGTTACACACGTACAAAGAAAATATTATGGTCCTAAGAAATAGTTAGAAGGAAGGAAATCATGGTAAGAGGGATCAGCCTAACTGCTTTAAAGGCGCCACGAAAAGACTATAAATAAATGGAAGCAAAGATTGAAGAAACCCCCAACCAGATTCAGACTCCACGTCTTTGTTAATTTTATTTTTCTTTAAATTTTTGCATTGCACTTATTTTTCATAAGAGTGTATTAGCCTTGTAATTCTAGAACTTGGTCGGTCTAAGGTTTCGAAATTGCCCTTACTAAAGGTAACATATCGTAATTGTTTATTCAATTAATCAATTGCAATTTTCTGCCCAGTCTCTTCCTCTCATTCTGTTACAAATTTAAATTACAAGCTTTGGTTCATCTTTTCAACAAAACACAGTAAAGTCCTCTTCATTGAGGCTAAAAAAACATTAACACAATCGCTTGATGTGAATTGGCGTTTATTATCTATAAGCATTTTTCAAATTCTTACTAGCATGCTTCAATTACATTTTTAACCTTCAGAGTGTCAAAATAGCCAACACAACCCAAGTCTTTTCCAGCCACCTTGACGCAGAGCTCTCTGACTCAGTCGCTTCAATCTTGTGCTTATCTTTTTCCGTTGGAATATGTGTGTATTATGCTCTCTTTTGCAATGTGTTGCTACTAAAGCTGTTGGTAATACGAGTGTTGATTATTGTAATTTGTTTTCCTTGTTAGTTGTTGTTAGTTTATTTTGTTGTGGTGTTGAACTTGATGTATTTATGATTCTATCTGTTATTTTCTTTATGATTTCCTCAAAAAAAAAAAAAGATACAAGCATGAATATGACGCAATCTGTCAACATGAATATTAAATGAGTTTTGTTGTGGTAGAACACGCATAATTCAAATACAACCTCTTTGACCTTCATGTTGACACATAGACATGAACTTGTTACTA